ACTTCATCAACAGTAGCCAGTATGTGAGGAGTTGACCCCAAACTGAGCAAAGCTGTAATATCCCTTGAGTAACCCGAACTTTCTTGTTTGAGTTGTTATCTGCCATAAAAAAGAAATCATTATAGGTGAAGTAAAATGTCGCACGAGTACAAAACCCCACAGCAAGACAGAAAAGGAGCAGATAGGCACAATGAAGGGAAGTAAAGCTGAAAGCAAAGGAAGAGACAAAAGAGAGCCGGCAAAGGAAAAAGGCAGCTGGGATATGAGGTTAAGACAGATAAAAAGGAATAAAAGAGAGACAAAGAGAAAGCATATTACTGAAGAAAAAAGAACAAGCGAAAGAAAAATGACAGAAAGAAGTAAAGGTAATGATAGGGAATATTAAAGGAAGAGAGAGTGCCTGCGAGGGGGAGAGAGTCTGGATTTGCATGTCAGTTAGTGTCTCTCCTTTTCAGTTTCATTATCTGCTAGAATAACAGGTGTTTTCTGCCGAGGGGCAAAGGGGCATTATTATGACCCATGTATCCACTGATAAGAGATATTAAATTGAACTAAAGACAAACACAGTCTCTTCAGCATGATGTGACCTCGAGGAGAAAATGAAATCAGAAAGTCCACAGCAGTTCCTCACCATAATATTTGAAAGCAGGTAATAATTTGAGAAAAGAATGACAGAGCATGCTCGTTTCTGCTTCGGCAGCCATCACGGGCGTTTTACAACCAAACGTTGCCTCGCTCGGTTTTGCAGGTGAGAAACTGTCAACAGCGCTCTTTGCCGGATAGTTGGAAGAAAACCAATATCTTGTAAAAAGAAACGTGATGATTAAAATGCATGTGACACAAGATTTTGATATTCGCCTGCCTTGCAAAGTAGCAGAAAGAAAATCACAGGGATTCTTAGAAAAGGTGTTTTTTTTCTGAGGTTACATGATGTGCCAGCTGTGAGCTTCATGCTGTAAATGAATCGGTTATATCTTCATCTACAGCTAAAGGACTCTGTGATGTCACATGTCAACATATAGAAAACTACAGATTACTTAATCTGCATCCTTCTCCTGTTTCCTACCCCTCCCCAGAAATGGTGTAACATAAATTCATTCAGAAATCATTCATGTAATTTAAGTAAATAAATAAGATGTCCTCACATTTGATAATAATGATACTCAGAGGAGTTCATTGTTGACTCAATCACTATAAAGGTCCAAAACATGTTCAGATAATCAGCCCTCCACCAGCCTGCTTGACACTTGGCACATGGTGTTTATGCTGATATGAAGTTTTTGGTCTCTAAGTGTGGGACTGTGCATTACATCCAAACATCTCCACTATATGGTCTCATTTGTCCAAAAGACATTGCTCCACAAGTCTTGTGGTTTGTTCGGATGCAAATTTGCCATCTTCCTTTAGAGCGAAGAGGCTTCTTGGCAACAGTCCCAAAAACACCATACTTGTTCAGTCTTTTCCTAATTTTACTGTCATGAACTTTAAGATTTAACACGCTAACTGAGGCCTTTAGAGAGTGAAATGTAGCTCTTGGTTTTTTTTTACTAATTCTCTGAGCATTGCTCAGAGAAAAGTCTAACTTTGGTGTGAATGTGCTGGGGCATCCACTCCTGAGAAGATTAGCAACTGTCTTGAATGTTTTCCATTTGCGAATAAACTTTCCTACTATAGAATGATGAACTTCAAATGTGTGGACATGGTCTTATAACACTCCCCAGACTGATGGAGAGTAACAATCGCTTCTCTACGATCTGTCTTTCCTCCTAAACACATTCAAACAAGCAATATAGTTAATCTGCGATTGTATTAACCTAACTTCAAGATCTGTGAAGGACTGGGTTATTATTATTTTTGAGTGATGTTTTGATGTGTAAAATCTCAGAATAGCAGGGACATCGGTCGGGAGCTGCATGTGAAATCTGTCTTACTCAAGTCATTCTCTTAAGTATTGAAAATTGGTTGCCATCATGCCAAGAGCTAAATAACCCTCTGGGACAAGTAAGAGATTTCAAAAGATATTTTTCTACAATAAAAAAAAAAAAGATCTAAAAGAGCTCTCAATTTTAAGCAAATGCCAATTTGTCAAAGAATGGCTGTCCCAGCAAATTAACTCAAAGAGCTTCCTGTCAGACGCAACATAATTCTCCAAGAAACCCAAATTTTCATTGCAGGATCTTTAGGTCAGTTGTGCAGCTGTAGCCATTAAACTACTGGGGAATGGTAAATGGCCTGTATTTGTATAGCGCTTTACTAGTCCCTAAGGACCCCAAAGCGCTTTACATATCCAGTCATCCACCTATTCACACACTGGTGATGGCAAGCTATTGTAGCCACAGCCACCCTGGGGCGAACTGACAGAGGCGAGGCTGCCGGACACTGGCGCCACCGGGCCCTCTGACCACCACCAGTAGGCAACGGGTGAAGTGTCTTGCCCAAGGACACAACAACCGAGACTATCCAAGTCGGGGCTCGAACCGGCAACCTTCCAATTACAAGGCGAACTCCCAACTCTTGAGCCACGATCGCCCAATGCAGTTAGCTTGCTAATGAACAAAAGCAGGGTCTTTGGAATAATGTGCTCTAAACAGTGTGTTTAGCCACACTAACAACAGAAAAGTGTGTTGCAAGCCAAATATAGCTTACACCAACTGTTAAGCATGGTGGTGGAAATTTTATGTTTCAGGGTTGCATTACTGCCTCAGGGACTGGGCAGCTTGCTGTTATTGGCTCAATAAGGAATTTTTCATTGTATCAAAAAGTGTCTGAAGATAATGTGAGGCCATCTGTCCAAGAGCTGATGCTGAGCTGGAAGGAGACCTTTTCAGCAGAATAATGATCCTACAAGCGCTGGCACATTTACCAAGGAATGCTTCAAAAAGAAGAAATTGAGGGTTACAGAATGGACTGGTCGAAGTCTAGATTAAAAATCGTATTAAATATTGTATATGAAACAAGACGTACAAGGAAACCAAGAGATAAAATAATGAGGGTACTCAGAAGAATAGATCTGTTCATATTTCTGTTGTATAAATTATAGATGGAGCTAATTTTCTTTGTGCTGTTTAAATATGTCGTTTTAAACTGTAGTCACTGACTGGAGTGTTTGCTCATTTAAAAATGTTTCATGAATTTTCTTACAATGCAGGTGGAGCTTCTCAATATATATGTACAATACAAAGGAGGCCATTGCATTAAACGTTTCTTCCAAATCCAGAAAAAAAAAAACAGATTTATTTGCCATCACTGGAAATCCTGAGATTGGCAGTCAACTCTGAAATAAACTTTAAAGAATGCAATCCCTGCCTTCTTTACAACCTGAGCTAAGAGTGCCGGGTTGGTGACATGCTGAGTTTCTAATGACTGACAGAAAAGTTGTCAGTGTAGCGTCAGCTGTTAAATATTCAGCGTCCATCAATCACCTGTTTCATTATAGCCGCGCACCTCAACTGCTCATGAGAAAGTGGCTGCATTGTCATCTTTATCTAGTTCACCACTGACCCACTTTTTGTTACTACCTACAAATAGTCAAGCTTAAAAAAATATCAGGGAATTCTAAGCAGTAAAAGTGTTTCAGAGGGGGAAGTGTAGGGTAAAAAAAAGTTTAAACAGGAAAAAAAAATGCTAAACGAGGAAGGAAGGGAAATAGTAGTAAATATTGGAAAGACTGATGTCCAAGAACGAGGCGGATTGGTTGGATGGATGCACTGTGAAAGAGAAATCTGATCAAACATTCAGTGGGTGTAGGCTTGTAAAAGAAATCCTTTCCAATGAAGAATGCACTGAGCCAGGAATTTATTCATAGATGCATTTATAATGCATGCCCACAGAATGAATGACTTCCCGTGGCACATGTGTGCACGTGTGTGTGACTTACACATACATGTTTGTGCAAAACTGCGAGTGTGTACATTGCATGTGCGGTGTGTCAGGGAGACAGAACAACTGCTGATTGATGAGACAACGTTTGTTTTAACGAGCCTCTGGAGTGGCTTCACCTTGAGAAAGATTTGGTTGCTCACTTCTACTGCTGTCTGGAGATATCTGAGGCATACACCATCAGTCTATTGCTCGCATTCGTGTGTGTATGTGTGCTTGTTTTGTGTGTTTACCTTTCTGTGTTTTGCTTGTGCATTTTTCTTTTTGTATAGCAAGTGTGAGATTTGGTGCCCCTGTCTACGAGAACAGCAGAGGGAAAGCTAAGTGATAGGGTGTGGGTGTAACTGGTTGCTATAAATTAATGTTGAAGCATTATTTCAATTACCCTGACCTACTTAACCACTAAACCAATAAATCTACATGTCTAAGAAACCTTAACAGCCAGAAAAACAACCGAAAAAACAGAAATGTTTTATCATATCTTGCTATACATCTCATAAAGACATGAGAACTGATGTAGATGTTTCAAATTTTCAAAATCATTCATGTCTACCTTTGAATGGCAGCATGATAAAGACACTGGGATACGGGTTAATCCACCACAATGCTGTACTTTCTTAAAGCAGGACTACACCTGCTAAATCAATGAAGCATGTAAATGTCAGACTATTAATGCTTCATTAAACCAAAGCACGGGTCGTTGACAATAGTGCAGATTTGCTTCAGGGGTCCCCGACATTTTAACATTTTTAAATTTTACATATAACGCCACATGTAAACACAATATGACAGCATAGCAAGCTTTTGAATGTGATTTGTTTTGCCATCTTTAATGAAAAACACAGCTGTTCTTTTGCTTAGTTATTAAATTTGACATCTTTTCGCTGTCCTTATAGCATGGATAGTGCAGGTAAACTTAAAGGAGAGAGAACAGCAGTTATTTCCTCTTATATAGTAAAAAAAATGAAAAAAGAAATAAATCAAACTGTCAGGTTAAATTATTTATAATTGTTCAGGTTTCCTTAAGAAACCCTGGGACTACCTTGGAGAATTCCCATTTGAGAGCACAAAGAAGCGCCATTTCCACGCTTGGCCTCTAGGGGTCACCATAACAATCACGAGCCGCTGTTCATTCCCCTCTCTGCACACATCCTTCCCTCTCGTTGACTGTTTACTCCATCAATGGCGGAAGCGGCTTAAGTCTGTGAGTGTATGAAGGATTTCTTTTAAAGTAAAGCACTGATAGCTTCACAGTGTGAAGTCAGAGTGTTTATGTGTCGCTTTTGTTGAAGTCGGACTGTTGTGTCTGTGACGGGAGGACTTCTCTTCGTCACGTGTTGCACGTGAAGTGGGAGAAATGCTTGTGGAAATGAATGAACGATCTTTAGGTCGAGCACTTAAGAAAAGGGCTGTGTTAATATGTGACAAGAGCTAATTTTCTTTGTCGGTTAGTATTAAAGAGGTAACGAGACGATCTAATGTACTTTCATTGAGTCCATGTGTATGGAGTATTAAAGAGAGAGAGAAATGAGGGAGAAAGACAGGAAAACTGCCCACTATTAAACAATAAATCCATTTTAGAAAGAGAAAATAAAAAACTGCCTGCACTATATCTTTGAGAGTCCACCGTGAGGGGAGGGTCTGATCGTTATCGAGGGCTAGCTGTTAAAGGTTCTGCTGAGTTCAGAGTACTATAATGATCATTAAACCCTGCTGCACTTGGGTTTCTTTCGTAGTTTGCTCTGCTTTGGTTGCTAAAGCTGGAAGGTGAGCAGATCCAGGTGAAGTATACATTTGTTTTAGTGCTGTCATCAGCTGGTTCGTGAGGTTTTAGGCGTATTTAGCCTTTTTGGTCGTTTATATGCCCTGGTTATCTACAGGGTTGTTGCTTTCTTTTTTCATATAAAGTACAGTTTACAGAGTCACAGCTTTTAATTTTCCTTTAACGAATCTGTCATATATTATGACCTTCAAACATTCCAACCTGCCCAAAAGATATTCAGTTTGCTGTCACATCAGATATGCAAGAGCCACACATTTGAGAAAAAAGGTTGGGTGTTAAGATTTCTGTTAACAGATTAGTCAATCATTAACTACCTGGGCTCCATTTTTAACTTTAGTTCCTCTTTAGTATACAGATGGTGTTATATTTTTCACAGGTATTGTGTTTGATTCATTGATTAATTTAATCAGCAAGAAAATTTTAAAAATAATCATCACATCAGTTTGTCATTGTTGTTAAACCAGAAGATTATTGACATGAACAAGAAGACTGAGGCAAATTTGCTGACAATTTTGACAATATAGGTTTTTACATTTTCAGCCAAGTCCACATGACCCATCAGTCAAAGAAGACAGATATATTAGCAAAGAAAAAGAATTATTAGTTGCAACCCTGTTGTGTCGGTATTGTGTCTTGAAACATGCGTGTAAACCTTGAAGTTGCATAGCTTGTGGTGGTCAGAGGGCCCGGTGGCGCCAGTGTCCGGCAGCCTCGCCTCTGTCAGTGCGCCCCAGGGCAGCTGTGGCTACAATGTAGCTTGCCATCGCCAGTGTGTGAATGTGTGTGTGAATGACTGAATGTAGTGTGAAGCGCTTTGGGGTCCTTAGGGACTAGAAAAGCGCTACACAAACACAGGCCATTTACCATTTTACAAATGCAGACCATAGCTTCCATGTGGATGTTTGTATTTTTAATCAGTTTTCTTGTTTTAGGGAGAATTAATAGTTCAGTACAAGCTCGGTCAGAGGTAGACATTTAAATGACTTTCTTTCTTTGTCGGCTTACAAGCAAAGAATAAAAGTAGAAAACAGACGGACAAAAGGAAGAATAGCAGCAACATATGCCCTGTTCTCCTCAAGTCCAAGTGAGTCGACTGATTGAAGACAGGCTGCTGTGGATCCTAGCCATGGATGAAAAGATGACACCTTTGGACTGCCTGCTGCCCTCAGGTACTGCCTTTCAAACTCACATTCCCTCACCAGAAAAACACATGCACACAATCAATCAAATCTGAAGGTTCATGCACAGATGCATATGTCTTCTTTTTTTCAGTTGTTGTTGTTGTTTTGTCATACACAAACTATACTCTTGCGTGGGGCACCCACCCACCCACACACAGACGATCTCAATGCATCTGATCAAAATTCACGCTTACTCACATCACTGTCACACTTGTCTTCCTCCCTCTGCTTCTCCCACTCACTCCGACACACGGTCTTTGGGGAATTAGAACTCAAAAACAAATCACTTGCACTTTCATGACAACAGTGTACATATGTATGAGACATGCCTTCCCTTCTCTTTTGCTGAAAGGGGTTTTTGATGTTTTTGCTTTAAAGGGGTGGTTTAATTAAGTTTGATCTTTCTAAAATCTAATCATCTTTTTTTGCGTCTGAATGAAATGCCTGACATCACATAAATTCTCCTTGTTCCAACAAAACATTTTAGATCCATATTAAATGTGTCTAAGTTCAGTACATAGCACATTTATTATCTCATTTCCAAAGGCAAGCTAACACGTTACAATAGAATTCATTACCCTAACGATAATCTGACATGTCCTGTACCCAGTGATGCTCCTAAAAAAGAAACTCTCCAGATGGCTGGCTGCCCTACAGACCTGAGAAGGAAGCTGGTTATATCTGCCTTTAGCCACTGCTCTCAGGTCAAGGTTTATGTGAGCTCTCTGGTGGTATGAGCTTCGAGGAAGGAAAGCTGATGTGAGCCGAAGGGCAGGTTATTACCAGACCTGTAAAGGTCAACGGGATCGTACAACAGTTTGGCCTGTAGAACAGACAGCAGACACTTGTACTTTCCTCAGGCTCGAGTTACATTTATTAGTTCCATGTAATTCCTGACAACTGTACTCATTTTATTAGCTAAAATCTAATGCAGTCAGCTGCAACAGCTCTTCTGTGAATTCCACTGTTAATACCGTGCTTTGACCTAACCAGGAACACAAAGTAGAATAATCCACCTTACTGACCACATGAACAGAAATGGAAAAGAAGCTTTGCAAAAGTTGGGTACTGTGCAAAAGTCTTGAGGGTTCCCCTCATTTCTTCATGTTTTGCATCCAAGGAGCCAGCCATTTTTTTTTAACCTACTTAAAGAATGAATCAGTGTTGTGTCTACACATAACACACACATTTGTTTCCATTTGTTTAGTTCAGTCCATGAAAAATGCCAAAGATAACTCAGTTTGACAGACATAAAATAATATTTTTGCCTTAACAAGGTGAATTCCAAAAAGCTATTAAACATAAACTTGGCATATTACAGCATGGTGTGCGGTTTGCTCTTAAAAAGTTTAAGGAAACTGAACAACTGAAAGCCAAAATTAAGAATTGTCATGGCTCTGTCATGGTTTGAGCTGCCTTTCATTCAGTAGTGTTGAAGATCTTGTTGAAACTGATGGAAATAGGGATGTACAGTCAGATAACATACAATACCCAATGGAAAATATGTTATGTAGAAGCCGGGACCTCAAAATTATTGGAGCAGTGTGGGATCACCCTGACAGAGCAGAATAAAAGCCTTTTGAAACGACCTTCAAGAAGCTGGGAGAAAGATTCACGAAGACTACTTAAAGAAGAAAGCTTGCCTAAAAGAGTTCAGGCTGTTTTGAAGAATAAAAGTCATCATGGCAAATATCAACTTTCAAGTTAGTTTGAGTTGTATTCACCTTATACTGTGTTTCAATAAATGTTTGCTGCATCTGTTTCAGTGAACCACGGATTACTTTATAAAGCAACGTATAACATAATGGAGTAGAAGAGTATATTTCGGGTCATTGGTGGTGAGTTAATACATTTTATGAAAATTTGACCCAGGTTAGAAATATTATTCTTCCACAGAAAGATATGAAAGATATGATAAAATGTTATATCCACGGTATGCTGAGCACTGTCTGAGGTCTGGCTTTTTTCATTCTTTCTGGATTCCTTGGCATCTAACTATCACAGGCACACACTGTGTGTAGTTTTACTGATAAGATGAATCTGAGGTCTGAGTCCTAGAAAAATCGTCTCTCTTCTTGTGTATGCCTCACAGTTCATAGAGTGGAATGTAAAAAATGCATCACCAAACAAGAACGTGGACTAAGAAAAAAAGCTGGGATGTCAAGAACTGTTTTCAAAAAAGCGCTACTGGGTTTATTTTGTATGAACGTGAAATTCTTAGCAATAAGGTAAGAAACGGAAGGAAATGAAGGTTTAACTGAACATGGGAACATTTTGGGAACAGTTTGCTATAAATGAGTTGATATTAATTGAATAAAGCAACAACAACAAAAACTTGTTTGCTTGCCTCTGTTCATCAGTTACTGTGTTGGCTCTAGGCTGAGCATTTATTAATGCTAATGTTACGATTAAGCTGCATGCTTATAGTTTGTCTCGCAGTTATATTGAGAGTGAGCTAAATATAGGGATTTAAATCAGATCATAAAATATAATCACAATCTCAAGCTTGTACTCAATTGAGCTAAAGTAATTAGTATGTTAACTTTAATTGACTTGCGTATGACTGAAAACAACAATTATGATATTTACAGAAGTTGTTTTAAAAGTGTCTTATGATAAAGAGCTGTGCACTCACAAGCCACTTCATTAGGTACACCTCACTAGTACCAGATTGGACCCCCTTTCGGATTCAGAAATGCTTTAATTTTTCAGATTTGTCATCCATGATGTCAATCTCCCGTTCCACCACATCCCTTCGGTGCTCTATTCGACTGAGATCTGATGATTGTGGAGGCCATTTGAGTAGAGTTGAGTTTTGTGACAGGATGTCTTATTCTGTTGGAAGCATCCATCAGAAGATTGGTATACACTGGTTATTAAGGGATGGACTTGGTTGGCAACAATACGAGTCTGTGGTGTTTAAACAATGTTCGCTTGATACTAAGGAGTGATCAGGCATCTCATCAGACCCAGACCAGACAGTGTTTTTATGAACTTCTACTGTCTAAACTCCCTTCAGTCACATTTCTTCTTCATTCTGATGTTCAGTTTGAACTTCAGCAGGTCATCTCGAATGCCTGACTTGATTAGCTGATTCGATATTCATGTTAAGAAGCTAATATAGTGGGCAATGAGTGCATATTCGCAGCTTTCTGCCTTTCAGCACGTACTCGCTGTTTCTCTCCATTAAACTGACCCAGTTTGTAGTTTTGCCATTGACATACGAAATAAATAATTTGAAGGCACTCTTTCAACTTGCGATGGTCTCCAATGAATTATCTAGCATATTTGATCAAAATATTTATTACATTAAAGCACATTTGAGTCACATCTCATTTCTTGTTGTCTAAAGCACTACAATCATCTTGTTCAACTGCAGAGGCGTACTTTTGCTGCATGCTTGTGTGCACAGGGTATGTTTGTATATACTTGACATTCTCACACACGTGCATTATTTGTGCAACGCAGGAAGACGGAACTGCTGTTGATTTTCTATTTGTGTACAGCTTGAAAATCAGTACCGCACGGAGACCGACATCAGTCAAGAGACACTCACTCATGTCAGGAAGCTATCAGCAGTTTTGAAGCATTCATTGAAACAAATGTTTACTCAAGCATGTTAGATAAGCGTTACAGGCTGCAATGTTGCATTTGCTCACTGTACAAATCCAAGATTTAGGCTAGAGATTTCTCTGGGTGTGCAAATAATCCGCAGAATGATGCAGAAGCAACAAATCACATACACCCCCAGTGTTATAATTTTGTGGATAAATTTGTCACTTGCTATTAAAGGTGAAAGATGTGCCTGAGATTCCCAGCATCATACATTTTTTTTATTTATTTTTTTATTTTTTTTACCCAAGTGCACAGTATAGCGATACACTTTTAGGATATATTTATATGGCTTCCTTAGTTTAATCTCTTGGAGGAAATGCTTATCTAGACTCTGAGGAGGATATAAGAACAGCCCCTGGATGTCTGCATTTTAAAATCCCTAGTGTGCACAGTTAGCCTTTTAAATTTCATCATTTTAATTATAAATACTTATTTCTGGAATATCTTTGTGCTAGCTTATGTGTTTTGGATACTCTGTACGTGTGTGCGCGCGTGTGCACGCGTGTTTGTAGTATTTATGCTGTCTGGCACTTTTAAGAGAATCCCAAGGTGACATTTCTTTGAAACGGAGTGCAGGAAAGGCCACGCACCTCCTCTTGTGTGTGTCTGTTTGTGTGTGGGGGGTGGGGTGGGAAGGTGAGTGTTTGTGTGTCGAAGGGTTATCTGAAAAGTCACGGCTGGTTGAGTTTGCCTTTTGTTCTCTGTACACCTCCAGCCAATTAAGAGACAAGACTGACAAATCTTCTCCTCCTCTTTCTCCCCCTCACCTACCCCCGCCCGTGCATCGTCCTCTCTTTCCCCCCTCCTTTGTGTCGCCTCTTTATCCTCTCTTCCTTTCCTCGACTTTTTACCATAGCCGGCTGGGGTTTGGCTTTTGGATTGGAAATGACCTTCTAGTGATGTGAACTTTTTAACAACATCAAGCCCACTGCTGCAACAAAGTCACAAACCCAAAGGACATTTTATTTCTCCACACTTTCTCAGCCAAGCCTAAATGCACTTTTTACACCTGAGGGTCCAAAATCCCCCCCAAAAAAGAGCTTTTTTTCCCAGGTGATGCACATTTTGCTGTGAGAAATTGATGATGAAACCTGAAGTGTGTATATATATAATTTTTCTTTCTATGTTTTTGCATTTTTTCCTCCATACTGGGGAAACTGGGGATACAGGCTTTACTGGATATTTCTTGTTTTGCAGTTATGGAATTTACATAAATTCGCATTAGGAGAGAGTAATCACAAGGTGGTGTTTCAAGTTGCAGATAGCATTTTGGCTTTGTTATAAAAGAAAGCCTTAAACATTGATGGGAAAGCATTTATAAGAGCAGACATGAGAGCGAAAGATAAATGAGCATGAAAAGTGCGATGGTGAGGAGAAGAAAGGTTGTGCTTTAGTCTTTGGTCCATTAAAGCTTTTCTAGCAGCTCTGTTTTTACTTTGTCAATGAATGTTTCCATTTTTTCCCATTTCCTGCAGATAGATAAATGACAATTCTAAAGTATTAGTCAGGGGATCTGCATTAGCAGCAGAGCAAAGAAAAGCTGAAAGCGAGATTGATGGGAGCTTCAGGGAAGAAATGGGTTTATGAAAAGCAACACCACGAGAGAGACTTTAACAAAGAAACGTAGAGGTACACTGATAAGAAAGAGAGATGAGGATGACAGAAAAGGTTTAGCTTTGTTTTCATGTATGATATGCAACTAAGGTTAAAGATTTTAAATGGCAAAAAAATGAAATGCGTGCAAGTGTGGGTACTGATTTTCTTTATTTTTCTTTAACAAATGGTAGGTATCCAGACATTGATTGTGACCCTGATTAAAGAGATTAAAGGCAGTATAATCAAGGGAAATCACTGTCTGAGCTGGATGCACACTGTCCGTAGTGGTGTTAGGTTTTGTTATCTTCTGCTGTTGCAAACAAACCCTTTGCAGCTTAATTGGATCGAGTGGGAACCAATTTTGATCTCTCAAGAAACCAAGACTTGCTTGAAATGAATTCATTTTTTAATCTTCTCTCTTATTTTCTTCTTTCCTTTGTGGAGCCTTATAATAACCTTGTTATTGCTGCTTTATTATTATTATTTTTTTAAATATATTCAATGCCACAAACAGTAGTCTCCTGTCTGGATTTAAAGGTATTAATTTGAACATGCAAGTAATGACATGTTCTAGCATTGCTATTTTGCTACGTGTTACTGATTATGCTCCATCAGTCGTCTGTGTTTTCTATCTGATTGTTTATTTTTTACACATTTCCCCTTTTCCTTGTGTCTGTTCTTTTCAGGCAAACAGAGGATCTGTCTGATCATACTGAACCAGCCGTTGGATAAGGACCACCTACATATCCTCTGGAGTAAAGGTACATTTCTCACACATCACAAATATAGATCAGACAACAGACAAGCCCCTTTTACAGCACTTATATCACATTTGCATTGATTTGCACTGAACATGTATTCCCCAGTTGTTTTTTGTCATACTGTGCTCTCTAGTCTGTGTAGCCTTCACTCTGCCATGTCACTGAAAGTGTTCCTTCCCCACTCTCTGCCTTTTCCTTTTCCTTTCTGCTTTCTGCATTGGTACCATTTTATTTATTTTTTTGATTACGTCTTTAGCTGAATTAGTTAAACAGTTATTACAATCAAAACAAAATTTGCTTTTTAAAAAAGGGCATTTCCATTATGAATGAACTGGTGGACAGTAAATTATTCAAAAATAAATTAAACTATTGTTAATTTCAGTAATGGAATTTCTGGCAGTAATTATGTCTGATAGTAAGGAGCACGGATAGAGGCAAGGGATGTCACTTGTAACCCAGTTGTGAGTGTTGATTTGTGTCTGACTGCTTTTCTGTTCCGTTCTCTCCTCTCTTTGTCACTGTCTGTTTGCATGAGAGTGGGGCTGTGCTCTTCAGACACACAGAGGGTAACTTGAGAGCAGAAAAGCAATACAGACTTTAGTGCAAAACTTAGTTGAGCTGAAGACTATTGTGCTCACTATCGCTAAGTACTACAATGGCTGTCATTTCTTAAATACCTGTGATCAAACAAGAACATATGCACATCAGCCACAACACCTGCCTAACCTTGTGAAGGTGTCTAGCTTGGTCTGGTGGAGCCCTCACATTTGGTGACTGGTTCGATAATGCCTTGGATTCTGGCATGGATGTTTGTCTGGCGCTCCATGCAGGATCTTGCATGAGGTTTGATCAAGTGAGGTTGATTTAAGAGAAAGGTGGTGGATCAGCCCAAAACTACACAGGCCAAGCTTGTTAATGACCTGAAAGCAGTTGGGACCAAAGTCACCAAGAACATTACTGATGATACACTATGCTAATGGATTGAAACTTACAGTGCCTGCAAGTCCCCCTTGCTCAAGAAGCCTTTGGAGCACTAGAAATGCCAAGTATGCTTTTTTCATAAAAAATCAATGTATAACTTATACGTAATGTATTTTTTCCCCTGGATTCTCGATTGATATTCCATATGTCTCCATTAAAATTAAACTACAATAAAAATTAGAGATCGTGTCTTTGGAAGTGAGCAAACATGCAAAGTCAGCAGAGGAATAAATAAGTATTTCTCAATTATATACTCATAACCAAAGACCAGGATACCACTTGGAGATTCCAAGTAGGCTAGATACTCTGAAGTGTTGCTTGGTGCATGCGTGTACACAAAGTCAGAGCCTTACCCTGTAGGATATGCTTATTAAAAGGCAAGTAAGGTCTGGTTATTTGTCTGTACAGTCCAGACTGTAAATTACAAAGAAATGGGTGAAAGGCAGGTACACTCTGGACTGGTCGCCAGTCTATCACTAGGCCTGCAATGTGAGTACGTGAATCCTGTGGTGTTTTTCATCAATGACAAGATGTTAGTATGAGTACAGAGCATTGTCAAATGTGAAATTCTAAAAGGCCATTCATTTAGGGAACTGCCATTCTATATCACCCTAAAGGTTTTCTCACTCCTGTGAAAATCTTGCTTACACATATAATGTTTGCAAATAACTCAAACTTCTGTGAAAAGGGCAGAAAATTTAATGCAGAATGGGCTGTACAATCCTATTCAAACACAGAGTAGTTGCACAGTACAAGCTTACTGAATGGCTCCACTTTAGCACACTCAGAAAAGCAGTTACGGCCAAGGGCATTTTGATCGTTGTTGTTGAAGATGAGTAGAATTGTGCTCAGTCACTTTCACATCAGCAACCTGCTGGTCACAAGTTTGCTGGTAGTTTATGGACCAAGGAAATCTCTTAGATTCCAGCCACTTCCTTGTGGTAACTAGGGGACATGCGAGGACGCCATGAATAGTCTGAGTCACTTTATCAGAGTATAAAACAAAAAGAAACTCAGAAAATATGTGTGTAAGACTAGTTGTTAAAAGATTAAAAATAGATTAAAAATAGATTTTTGAACAAAAGTAGAGCTTCAGACTCCCTAAGGTGTTATTTATTAGATGCATTGATGCATAGAGTTATGCTAGCTGACTGTGATGTATTAAATATATAAACCAGGCAGTGTCATGATAACCTACATCCTATAGCTTTGTTTATTTATTTTTCTTTTTAATCACTGATCAAAAACAGCACCGCTCTGAACTAGAATAACTTTAAAATTCTCATTTATTTGAGCTGGATCACTGGTTTTCCCTCAGTTTTGATGATCACCTGAAAATACAATAAAACTATACGCTAATATATGAAATAATGTAATTAGCAAACTTACGCAGTCATGGAGGAATGTTAGTAAACAAAATAACTTTGAAACCACTTCAGGTGGAATTTTAATGAACGTGGCTTTGATATTCTTATCAACTTAGAAAAACCCAAGAAGCACCTCCGCTTTATCCATCGCACAGCAGCTGTATAGTAAGAAATATGTTGCTCGCTTGATTTTTGCTTTTGCATAAGAGAACCTGTGAAAAGTGTTTAATAACACAAGACAAACCAATCTTCCTGATGAGATTTCACACCAAAACCTGCCTGCTACCCAACATGATGAAGATTGCTTTTCTTTTCTTTTTGTTTCTTTTTTTTTGGGTGGGTGGGGATCTTGAGGGAGAAGATAAGGTGATTAGGTAAATGCATAACAAAACAACATTAGAAACAATATTTGTATATGTCTATAGTTCTATATAATTGTATAAAGAAAAAATATACATATGAGTGCATATATACCCAAAAAGCTGTCTATCCCATTAAATTTTCATTAATCTGTTGAATGTCTTGAGAGAATTTTCTTCACACTTCTGATTACATTTTGATGGCCAGAGATTTTTAATTACTTGAAAATGTAACACAAATAGAGGGATTAAATAGCATAGCAATGACCGCATCTTCACTGCACTCTGTTTTCCTTTAACCTAGGAGAACATGCTGACACTAATCTTTGGTGTCCATCTAATAGGTAGGTTCAGCGTCTTGGCTATGTAAGTCATTAGACTGACTGACATGTGTTTAAACTGCAGCCTCACCTGGTGGGGCACACAGCTGCAAAGTGACAATTTTGTTAGTTATCACGTTCAGTTCTCTGCTGTATGACGGACGCAAGAATCATAAAAATCATCAAACAGAGCAAGTGCACCATTTGGCAGCAGCTGAAAACATGATGCGGCTTGATTGTGTCATGCGATGATTTGTGTATTTGGTTGTGCTAAGACAGTGTTACTTTGATGAAAAAAGTGATTTTGGGTGCTTTCTGAAATGCCAAAACCAATGCTGTGGTTTTGATGTCAAATTGTGAGGCTCTCTTGAACACAAAAAGAGTTTTGATCAGTTTTGGTCTTGGCAGCAGTGCACACTGGGACTTCAAGAAGTTTTGACAAGATGATGATTGCGTGTGAGTGGCGCTTCTCAGATCTCTCATGGTTCAATGGTAAACACAGTTGTGGCAAGTTTATCATCCCATGCTTGATGTGCGATGCATTTTTAATTTTGTTTTTGGCTAAGCAGATGCCTGCGTGTGCATGAGCGTGTCTGAGTGTGAGCCACTCTCCAAATGGTTGTTCACCTAGAGGCATCATAGCCAAGTCTCCACCCTTACATACACAAACATCCGGTGTATCTCACAAACATGTACACACTTTCAGGTCCTCTGATCTGGTGCCCCTGGGCCCCCCCACCCCTCATTACCTGTGGGAGAGGTAGAGCAGCAGGGAGCACAGCGGCAATGGAGGCTACAAGAGCGCAAAGCTGATCAAAGGGAAAACTCATTTACTGGTGCCAAGTGTAATGTTGTGAAGTGAGATCAACCTGCTTATCTCACCAACCCAACCTTTCACTCATCATCAGTCACCCGCTCACTCATTCACTCAGTCACGCATTTACTTGCTTTGAGATCCGTCACTTGCTCATTGAACAGCAACACAAATAAGCAGTTTAGCAAATCAAGGTGATTCAGTGAAGGTGACCCTGTCTGCAAAACAAAACTGACCTGAGTTGGCTACAAGTGCATCAATCAATCATTTGATGACGTTGAGCAGCTTGCTAAAGTTGAAGGTTGCAAACATCACCCATCAGGAATATCAGCCTTGCCAGTAAGAAGCATTTATGAACACATCAGATGGAGCTAATAGGTATGTGAAGAATTCAAAGAGAGAAGCCATTAGCAAGGTTGGAGCTCCAAATATTCCAACAAGACTTTCAAAGATGGATGGGCATAAAAAGATTTGAAAATTTACCATCTAGAGTAATAAAGGGAAGGCTAGAGTAGTGTAAGAAGTATCAGAGTTGAGTTATAGAAAATGAGATGGTTGTGCAGGGAATCAATCATATTTGAGGAAAGGTGTGGGGTGCGTACTGGATCTGAGGACAGGGTGAAATATGGAGGGGGGAGGTGGTATGATAGATGAAGTGAGGGTGTCGAGGCATCATAATAAGGATAATAATCTTTTCACCACTCGTCGTGACCGTTTGCCCTCTCCTGTACAGAGCTAAAGCCCCAACCTGACAGGTATTAATCTTCCTAGCAAAAACCCATCAATACAGGCTTGCTGTATGTACAATATAACAATATATAAATATACATTTATAGCACAGTCACACATGAGCATATGTGGGTGTTTCCACATCATACCTAAAGCAGCATCACAGTTTGTCAAAAACCTAGTAAAATTACAGGTTTAGTTACGTGTGTGTGGAAGTGCAGAGTGAATGACAAGTCAGGATGGCTTGGAAGCCTGCAGGGAGGGATTAGAGTCAGTAGTTTATTTACAAGGTCATCTCCTCTTCATTTCTTCTGCTGTCCCCACTCAGCTCACATCATATTGCCATCAGGAATGATGAGAGATCTACAGTGGCATCCAGACGTTTGGGTCCCTAGCATTTTTCTTACTGTGAGTCTGAGCGAGTCAAAGG